TGTTTTACCTCACCGGATAAACTAAAATCTTTACAATTGAGGCCATCATACCATACTTAATAAAGATGGCAGTTCAGTTCTGCATGGAGAAGAAAAGCATTTTCTGTTGAACAAACTTTGATAACTAACCCTCCTTCAGTGTTTCTTACAGTGGGGTTTCTAAGAATGGAAAAAGAATCAAAATAAATTGTGTTCTTGGGTTTTACTCCTGAATTCAAAAAGCTACCTTTGTAGAAAATGTCCCTACAAGAAATGTCTAACTTTATACAATACCAACCACGGAGGAGAAAAAATGGTTTTCATGCTCATCTGATTACCCGTTGCTGATCAATACATCTTAGATGCTAGCTTAAACTAAACTGTGTTGTCTCTTTGTACAGGTGATCAGCACCATCAGTATTCACAAGGTTTATGATATGATTATGTTGTTGCATGTCCATCAGCAAAAGTTACTGCAGTGTAACTAGCCTCTAAATCGGTTGCTTTTCCAGTGAGTCTCCACGTCTGTGTTTTGGACTGCAGCTGACGGCTGTACCCCTCTTTCTGCTCTCCACCCTTTGTGAGCTTGGTGTAGCTGAAAATGAATCAGCTCTCCACCTGTTGTAGGTTCTGCTTAGAGCTGCCCTGGAGCAGAGCAGAACAAGGACTCGTTGACCAGCTGCAGCTTAATATATTCTAGTTGGAGCAAACCAGATAAGATGCTGCTCTCTAGGTGAGCTGCTGAAGGATGCTGGGGACTCTCACAGCTTTTTAGCAGTGACTAATCATTGGAAATAAGAGTGAGGAGGACTGAGTAATTGTGGATGAAGTCATTCGCTCATATTCATCAAAAAATGATAAAACTTGCTGAATATAAAGTTAATATGAGAAACTGGTATATTAATATACCAGTGCCAGTATACTAATATATTGTTACTGGCATATGGAGTCCTATACCTGTTAATAGTATCACACTACATGAGTAGATTAAGTTAGGTGCCTGTGGATTTACTATGTAAACACTTTATTAATACAGAACTATTGAAGACTAGTTCTGTATGAATTAACAAAGGCAGCATGTGACAGTTCATCGGGGGACTGTTAAAGTAAATTATTTTCATAGTGAAGCATCCAGGAGCTCTTTGCCCTTCTCTGAATACCTGCATTAATTCCACTGTTTCTTTTTCTCTTCCTGTCTCGCCAGAAACCTTCATGAGGACCATGGTGGAAAGCTTCAAATTAGCAGCTATCTGATTAGCTTCTCACTGCACAACAAATCTCCCTCCATCCAGTCCCCGCCATCTGTGGGGCCTCCATCCAGCCATGGCGGACCCTGGGATGTTGAGCTTATTCGGGGACGACCCAGGGCTGTTCTCAGATGGGTTAGATGGTTTAGGAGACTGCTTTCCTCAGCAGTCGGTCCCAGGCCAGTCTGCTCCTCTTGCCCAGCAGACAAATTCCGCTCTGAACCATGAACACCAGGGAAGCAGGGGATACCACCAGGGGATGATGCATGGGAGTGGGCCTACCCCAGCACAGCCTAAATTGGGGCAAATGTACGACCATGGCCCGTATACAGGCTATGATCAAGCCGGCACCCCTGGAGGACGAATGATGGCTCAGAATGGCCCCAGCCAGGGTCCCCCAAATGTGAACACAGCTATGAATGGCATGACCTCCCACTACCACAGTAACCCAGCTAACGCTAGCAACCCTCACCATGGGTACCAGGGTGATACTGGAGGAGGAGGTGGGGGAGTTTGGGGCCAGCAGCAGCAGACCAGACCAGCTTATCCACAGGCTCCAGCACAACCAGGGGCTACTCCCAACCAGATGGGAAGCTACCAAATGTCTCAAGGCAATTATGGTGGGATTCAAGGTCCACCCACATCTAATGCAGCCCGCATGAATCAACACTACCCTCCACAGAGCATGGCACCCCCTCCTGCTCAGGACACATCTCACTACTTGGGACATAACCAGATGAGACACCCTCAGCCTCAGGCACAATCCCAAGGCTATCCCAATATGGGACACACATCCCGATATCCACACTCCCCATCCAGACAGCCGCAGCACCCCCACCACCAACAAGGCATGGGAGGGTTTGGGGGTACTCAGTACTCTGGCTATCAGCCCCAGTATGGTGCCATAGGACCTGGGATGGGCCAGGCTCCTAATACTAATGTCAGTGCTAATGCCAGCCAGCCCATGGGATCAGGGCAGCTTGGCCAGAGGTTTAACCAGGGAACAGGCCCGGCAGCAGGGCAGCAGGGACAACGATACCCCCCTGGACCGCCACACCAAGCCCATCAGACTCATTCTGCCCCGATGCAGCAGCAGCAGCAGCAGGCAGGGCAGCAGAGCCAGCCTATGCACCCCCTAAACCACCCGCAAAATATGCCCCAACCCCAAAACCAAGCCCAGTCCCATCTTGCCCCCCCAGCTCAGGGAACTTACTCCTCTCCTTCATCCATGTCCCCAATGCGGGTTTTGGGAGCCCCGACCCCTCCTCCCGCCCAACAGGGCAGACCTCCTAGCACAGGGCTAGCTGGGCCCCCAGAGGTTGCAGGATACACAGCAATGCATTCTCCACCCAGTGCTATGGCCCATCCACAGAGGACTCCACAAACCCCGCTGTCTGCCCCACACCCCCAACACCAGCAACCCCATAGCATGGCCCCCAGTGCGGGGCAGATGTATCCTGGTATGGGGCCACAGCGTGGCGCACAAATGGGACCAAACAGGCCTCAGCTCCAGCAGCAGCAGGGTAAGCAGTGTTCTGTTCACGGGCTTCACTTTGATCATTTATTGGCGATCGAGATCAGTTTCAGATTTACAAAAGGACAGAACTAGAAACTAAAGCCATTTCCATCATGGTTGTATTGGCTAAATACTGAGTAAAGCTTAAACAGAGAGAAATGATCAAAATATGGAAAAGTAAGAGTATGTCCACACCTGTTTGGGGGGGCATCAAAGTGTTCAGATGAATTTCATTATCAAACACAGGGTAAAAAGGAATACTGCCTTGATTCCATTTAAATAGTTGACAAGGGTGACACGACGATGATGATGATTCTTTGTTTTTTCCTTTTTTGTCCTGTCGCTTTATCCAGGGCACGAAGCCCCCGCAAGCCAGGGCGGAGACCAGCGTCTACTCCAGACCCAGCAGCAGGCCTCTCGAAGTGGGCAGCATATGCAGCCGGCACCCATGAGTTTTCAGGGACCGCCTGTTGGTCAACATGGAATCCCGGCTCCAAACCAGGGCCTTGGGCCACCCACTCAGAGCCCTCAGACGCAGCACACACACCTGCCCTCACACCCTCATCACTTGCAGAGCACGCCCCCTCCCCCCAACCAGGCCTCCCACCCGTGGGCACCTCCACCTTCTGCCTCCCACCCACTCTCCTCACCCCCTCTTACCCCACAGAAAGTGCCTCACATACAGGTGAGTCTCCGTCAAACAGACACTTTGATGTGGTAGCAAGGCTGAGTATGTGTGAGTGAGATCAAGACTATGTGCATTTGTTTTCATGTGTGGGTGTATTTTATGTGAATGTTTATTTTTCATGTGGGTGGGGGAATGTGTGTATTTGGAGTGTAAGGGAAGTGTGTATGTGTGTGCAGGAGTGTGTGTGTGTCTGTACATGACATTTGAGAACACACCGGTGCATTGGGCACTGGCTCACTGGGGTTTTGTGTATGTTTGTTCATGTTTTTTTTTTTTCCTTTTGTGTGTTCTGCTGCGGGCCTTGTGCACGGTGGTTGTGTTTCCGTGTGTGTGATGGGGGGAGGGGGTATGGATTTTTGCAGCCGCTTATTTCCTGTGAGCTGCATATCCTGCGACACGCGTGCACACACATGCACAGAGGCGCCACTAGCATAATTTCTCCTCCCCCTTGCTTCCACTATCCCCCTCCTCTGTAGAGGAAACCTCCCTTCCTGTCTCTCTCCTCCCAGTCTCCTCTCTTTCCGCTCTCCCTGTCTGTCTTACTATTTGTCCTCTCCTTTTCAGGGGTGCCATCATTAAGTTAATGTTGTGTAGCCGGATGTGCAGAGAGACAGTTTGGACAACAGGGAGACCGTGAGGATGGGGTGTGATTAAGTGATTTGGAGTGAGAGAAAAAAAACATTAAGAGGAAAGAAGTGAAAAACCGAATGGAAAATCTCAAGTGAAGGGAGGACAGGAATGGTGGGAAGACATTCTCAGTGGCGACCAGCACGTTTGAGTGCGCGGCACCATTGCCGCCTGCGTCACGTGTCCTCGCCTTCCATTAGCTTGTTTTGTTGCTCAAAGCCCCCTTTCTCCACTGACCCATTCACACACAATAGCAGCCCTATGGACATACACACCCAAAGATCCAGTCCCCATTTTCTCTTCCACCCCCACGCCTCCCCACCTCCCCACTTCCAAGCCTACATCGCTGTGTTCAGTGGTTGACATTTCAGCCGTCACACTTAATTTATCCAGCACTCCTGACCTACATGCCAGGTTGACTGGTGAGCCTTGCTCCTCACTGGGGCACGCACTGCATGTGCCGTTCTGCCATTCTGGCTCTAGCTGCAGGCCCAGCAGCCCCCGTCATTACACACACACCAACGGTGCTCTGGGACGGAATAGTGAATGTGCCTTGAGAAATAGGATAGCCTAACTAGAGGAGTTAGAGTAGCGTGTGCATGTGGCCCAGGAAGCAAGGTTTCTGTGCGCCTCATGATGCACTTGTTAGAAAGAGCCCCACACACAGACACACACACACCAAGCTGGTCAGTCAGTCATGATGACTGCATGTCTGGTACTCTAAGCTCCATCTGTTCACTAAGCATGGTTATTACACATGCACGCACACATGCACGCGTGCCTTCGTCAGCAGCTCAAGGTCAAAGCTCTGGCAGAGTGCTGGGGTGTGACCTTTATTCTACATCTCACGCACACTATGTTGTGTGCAGCACTCTAGTTGACATATAACGCGCCTGTCTTACCCCTCCCCCTGCTCTGCCATACATCTAGCTTACCGGGGTTCTGCAGCTTTGAGGAAATGCTGCTTTGATATGAAGACGCCGGGTGCTCGTTTGTGCGAAGTTCAGCGAATGAAAATATTCTGCAGCTGACTGCTTACTCAACACACGAGCACAGTTCATTTTTCATTGATTTTTCTCTTGGTGAAGTTGAAATTTATCCCATCTGAACTGTCTGTCTATAATAATAGATGGATGCTGGGATGGACACTTGTCTTCTGGATTCACTGGACACACAAAGTCAAATTAAGTGAAAATGATCAATGGAGATTGACAGCGGATAGTATGACTTTGTACTTGTTCTGAAAGTTATAGACATATATAACTTTATAACAATATAACATGTTAGAGGTTAAGGAAAAGGGTGTCTTGTTCTAGTTTGTTTTGTTTTGGGTTTTTTTGGACCTCTTCGGGCAGTACAGTTGTTCCTGATATCTCCTCATTGGTGCTTTGATTATGTTGTTGGATTGCACTGCCTTTCATGACAGTCCAAAGTCTCCTAAAGCTGTTTATCTGTGTTATACTGGTGACTGAGACGGCCACAGTATATGATTCACATCCTTTTTATACTCATAAAACCAGTGAGTCAGTGAGCCCTTGTCCTATAGGTGGGAACCGGTTCCATCAGGATAGAAATTTGTTTGTATTGACTCTTCTCTCTAAAAAGAACATGTTCCCCATCTTACACATAAAGTGTCAACAAAAGCAAGCAAAGTTTATGTTATTAGAATAATATAACAAAGTGGTGTGCAGTATTTATTCCCTCAGCATATGGCTCACTTGACCTTTGCTTAAGTTGTCAAACTCAGGACTATGTTTTAAGTGTAAGCATCCAGGTTTTCTTGCATTATATTTTAAACTGAAATTTCCAGATCACCAGTGTTCATATCTGTGAAAGAAATACACCATTTTTCTTTTTTAAAGAATTTCTGGTTCAGAGTGTTAAAAATTTATTTAACCTCCTAAGACCTGAACTCTTCCACGGCATGCATTTTTAATTTCTCTTTGATATTCGGGCATATTGGGACCTGATGAATGTAAAAACAAAGAATTACTACTTTTTTTTTTTTTTTTTAACCTAATTTTTGTTTCTGAGAAAAATGAGAGCCACTTATGAGGATATTCGTTTAAAATTTCGATAGAACAGTAGCAGTATAATGTCCTCGTAAGTGGATATCAGGCCCTTGTAGAGCAAAATTGAGTATTTTGGTCTAAATAACGCAAAATGTGATATCCACATATGTGGACGCCAGGTCCTAGGAGGTTAAGAAGGATGTGTCCTTTTAGAGGCATTGACACCATCTTAGTCACCTTGTCCCAAAAGGTGACAATTCAGGCTGAGAGTTGCTAACATTTGCAAATTTTTACATTATAGTCTAGTGCAGGGGTGGGCAATCTCAGTCCACGAGGGCCGGTGTCCCTGCAGGTTTTAGATCTCACCTTGGGTCAACACACCTGAATCACATGATTAGTTCGTTACCAGGCCTCTGGAGAACTTCAGGACATGTTGAGGAGCTAATTTAGCCATTTAAATCAGCTGTGTTGGTTCGAGGACACATCTAAAACCTGCAGGGACACCGGCCCTCGTGGACTGAGATTGCCCACCCCTGGTCGAGTGACTGCCATTGATCTAACCATTAGATATGATAGGGCTGGGCTATATGGCCTAAAATCCATATTGTGGTATAATTTGAAACATGCTCCGGTGCGCCTTATGTATGAATTCTGGTTGTGCTTACTGACCTTGAACCGATTTTATGTGGTGCACGGCGCTCAAAAATCTGTCAAAATGTTTTAGTATGACTTTGGTAAGCTACGAAGCCGCACCGCTTGATGGATTGTTGGAGCATTACGGCTACTGTAGTCAGGAGCCTCGCGGAGTAATCTGGGTGCAAAACTCCGTCTGCTTCAGGTCCTAAAGTGAAACGAACACTGTGGCATCACTGAGTTAAAAACTGTCTAAATTCGTTCATCTTTAATAAAATGATCAGCGTTGCTGCTTTACCAGGTGAAACAATTAAGTTTAACATCCAGACATCCATGAAAACAGAATTTATTAAATTTAACAGAGTTAATAGTTAGCAGGAAGTTAGCTCGCTAGTTTCCACCTAAACATGACATACCATGTTCTGACTGAGAGATTTCTGAAAAATTCAAACGTACAGCTCTGCTATCACTTCCAACATAAATGAAGACCGAAAATAAATAGCAGTGACTTTTGTAGGGTTACTGAAGTTGGACTAGCTGGTATATAATGATGTGCTACGTAATCGCTAGCGACACAGCTATGTTAGCATAAGCTGAAGGATGAACGCTAACTTTTTTCCACTCGATAAAAGTTAACGGGAGGGTTCCTGATGGTTAGGGACAAATGCAATCGCATGGCAGGATGCTGTAAACGGACCAAACTTCAGTCAGGAAAACAACTGAGATTATTCATCCACAATACGAGGTTAGTCATTAATATACTGCAACAACATGGGAATAGAGCAGCTGCCGGAGAATTCAACATTAATGAGTCAGTGGTACGGAAGCGGAGGAAGCGCAGTTTTTGGCTTTCCTCATATTCCAAAACATGCTTTGTCTCTTCGCTATTACTGTCGCCCGGCATAATTTGCAGATGATATTGCTTGCAGCTGCTGCGATGCTTTCGACCAAAACGGGCGCAGCTTGATGACACCATCAACATACGCTATCGCGGTGGAGCGGTATAGTCTAAATCTCTACCATTGTTCCAAATTCATATTGCTTCTATCGTATACAGTTTATACCGCCCAATCCTAGATATGATATAGATACAGATATAATTAGAATGTGAATCCTTTCTCCCCTTTTTAACCAGTTGGGCCGATTCTCTTGAGTTAATCAGGTGAATCTGGGATTTGTTCAGAAATTTACATTTTAATAAAGATTCTCAGATTCTAAAAAGTTAACCTCATACCCAGTACATTAAGCTTACGCAACCATTTCTGTGTGAGAACTAACTGATCAAAGCTTGTGCTTCAATGTTGCTCTAATAATTATCAGAATATAATCGCTGTGATTAAATTTTGATCTTGTAATTTCTGTTTTAAACCATAGTCACAAAACGTGACAAATGTTGGACACTGTTCAGTTTTCTTCTGATATTTTGACTTATTACTGACGAGTTGTCAATGAGGTCAATTAGAACAAAGTTGGCTTAATGGAGAATGAGTTTAAACTGTTTTAGATGGAGGATAAATGGAGGGGCTGCACCACATCCCAGTATATTATAGCCGATTTTCCAGGATTCTTTCAGTTGTTAATCAAATGTGTCGTCTGCCACAGTGTGATAAAGATTTCGAACTGTGAATCAAGAAGTGCAGCTTTAGTGGAGTCAAACAATAAAAACACGGAGCAAGATGTGAGCGTAATAGGTGTATATTAAGTGTTTCTGCCTGGTTGATTTAACCATGGCACTATTCTCTCCTCTCACTCACCTTCATCCTCACACTCTCCCCTCCCCTCTGTTCGCTGAGAGCTGACACTTGACGCTCTTCACCTACTGAATCTGTTACATTAGCCATGCAGCTCTTCTGTTGGTGGTCTTTTAAGGATTTTTCCCCCCCCTTTTATGAAATCCAATTATTGGGAATGATATTACAATCTGTTTTGGAAGTGAATGGAGATCACGTCTCAGAAAAGAACAATAAAACGTTCCATTGTTGATGGAAACACTGGATTTAAACCAGTACCTGTGGAAATGGCAGAGATGAATTCACCCTGCAGAACGCCAAACCTGACGCAGCACTCGAACATGTGTGTTTGTGTACACACTGTGTGTGTCTCCATTGTCATTCCTGTGATTGATTATCTAGGAAGCTTGGCAGGAGGACAGATTTATCTCTTGGCACCACATCCCCCCTCGCCATCTCTCCCTCTTTCTCTCTATCCCTCACTCCCCTCCTGTTTGTGTGCCTAAAAGGCTCAGTTTACGTGTGTGTCAGCAGGTGTTTGTGTGCATGTGTGTAGAGGTTTGTGTGATGTGACCTTGCAGTAGTTGGGTCTGTGTGTGTGTGTCCCCGCACACACATATTTGCATTCTCCTGATGGAAGTGGACTTGCAGTGATAGCAAGCACTTCCTCCTCCAAGTGAGCAAGCTGTGTGTGCGCTGCTGAGGCATTTTGCTGTAAACTTGCTGATGCTCATACACTTCATTGAAACACACACAACTGCACACATGTGTTACACATGCACTCACAAACACACACTCTCAAAGGCTTGGTCTCTTGCTCTCATATGACACACACACACATGCTCCCTCGCTGCGCCTTTTTGAAGTATGGAGATAATTTATTCGTGTCATGATGCCTGATTTCCCATCTGCTACTGGGACCCTGAGCAGCTGGAGGGAGAGAAAGGGGGGAGGGATGGAAGAGAGAGGGAGAAAGAGGAGAGGCAGTTGGAAAGGCTCCCAACAGCTGGTAACCAGTTTCCTGTCACAGAAAGCTTACTTGGGAGCAAAGAAGAGGTGGTGGTGGAGGGGAGAAGGAGCAAGGAGATGGGATTTAGTCTGCTGGAGAGAGGAGGAAAGATGAAGTGTCAGCCAGTTTGTTTACTAAGGTTAGGCTGCTGGAGTCGAGGCAGGAGGGGGGCGGAAGCTGCAGCAACAGGGAGTTGAAGGGAGGGAGGAGGTGGCAGCCGCGTTCATGGATGGATGATTGAGTCCCTTCTCCCCCTCTGCTCTGGTCTGCCATTACTGACAGATTCATACCCCACCCTGCAGAATTTATATCAGTATTGATTGACAGGTGAACCAGCAGTGAAGCCAGTCCGCATTTGAGATTATTCGTTTTAGAGTTTAAATGATTAGTAGATTAATAATCAGTAATCCAAAAATAATAAGATGGTTAATTAAGCTGATATGGTTGATTAACCACTGAGGTCATTTCAAACAAAAAACAAAGAAATTCTTTCATTTGAGAATTTACAATTTTATATCTTTGTCTGCAGGCAGAACATGATATGGTAGAGTAATCAGTGTTTGAGCCCCAGTTTATTTTTTTGTTTTGGTTTTTCTGCTTCTGTGGTATATTTAGGCTGTAGTTAGATTTTAACTCTGAAGCACTGCACTGATGTGGTACACCTTATTGGCCTGTTCAGGTCCTCCTGTGTATTTCTGGGTACTTTTTTGCCACAGTTTTTGAATGAATCAGTGAGAAAATAATAATCATAGCCTCAATAAAAGATCCCTCACATGTCAGCAAATTCAGATTGTTGGAAT